TTACAGGCTGGTGAACAAACATGTGATAGAAAGAATTCCACAAATCTGGTTAAGGTACAGAAGATTACAGGCTGGTGAATAAATATGTGATAGAAAAAATTCCACAAATCTGGTTAAGGCACAGAAGATTACAGGCTGGTGAATAAATATGTGATAGAAAGAATTCCACAAATCTGGTTAAGGCACAGAAGATTACAGGCTGGTGAACAAACATGTGACAGAAAGAATTCCACAAATCTGGTTAAGGTACAGAAGATTACAGGCTGCTGAATAAACATGTGATAGAAAGAATTCCACAAATCTGGTTAAGGTACAGAAGATTACAGGCTGCTGAACAAACATGTGACGAGAAGGACAGCACAAGTACGTTGAAAATATGGAAGTATGTAAGGGCTTAAAAATTCAGGCCACGCAATGCGTTAAAGCAACATATACATAGTGACTATAAGGACGAGTATAGCGTTATTTTGTACTGAAATTAAGAAAACTAGCTTATATTAAAACGGTTGTTTAGAAGATAGATGAATGGTAAAACTACAAAATAGAAAGAAAAGAAAAATAAATTTCACTATAATGCTGTTAGGAAACTCAGTGCTAGAAAAGTTATGTTACGTCTGTTTTTCGATCCCACTCCTGACACAAATTTGTTACGTCTCTGTTCGTTTGTTAATTTCCCGTAAAAATTCTTTCCGAAGAACTTCAGCGAAACAAGTCATTTCTTAAATAAAACTAGTTTATTCTTTCTCAATACAACTTTGCAATAAACAGAATTTCCACGGTCACTTTAACTTAAACACACGCTATAATTCACAACGATTCACGCACTTTACTTACGGTAACTACCGCTCACTTGACTCGATTATCTGTTTCTATATCTCTCTTCAATCTCCTATTATATATGCCGTCACTCTTCCCCGCTTTATTTGCCGGGCTTATATATACAAAAATAGAGGGCGTCTGGCAAACACTCGAGCCTTCATGACCCTTCTAGAAATTCATCACGTGTTACCAGCGTCACGTGACTTCTACTGTCTTAACACTATAATGAAATTTTGTTCATGAGAGTAAGCTAAATAGAAGATTAATGTGAGAGAAATGTGTATAAACGGTTTGCTTCAGAGATCACTAGAAAAATAACATTAACATATTGCCCAGAAGGTTGCACAGAAATAAAATTCATGTTTACATTTCTGACTGAGAAAATAATGTTTGTTTTTCAGGCGGTAAAAAACAACAACCTATAACATTTGATTGGAAGAATAGGTCACGCTTGAATGTCCAACTTTCTCATCTCAACATGATTTAGAACCTGTAACATTATTCATGGAAGTCTCAAATTAATTACATTAATAGGGTAAAATTAGTTGTATATTTGGTCGCTTGATTGGCTGAGCAAAATGAAATTTAATCTAGATATCTTGGTTGGTATGGTTGATCTCTATGCAACATAGTTTACAGTTATCTGAGTAACGTTTGAGTAAGGGTGAAGTAACTAGTAGTGTAAGAGTAAGAATATATTTTACTTCCTACTTGGCATTGCGCAGAATGTGGTTGTCACAAGTTATAGATAAAAAATGTATTAACGAAATAAAGTAATAATAAATGATTAAATAATGAAATCATTATAACGTCTTTCTTATTTCAGTTAACTTAAATTTGGATTAAGCTTACTACTTCTTCCATTATTTATTTCTACTCTTTTTTCTTCTTATATTTTCTTTCCACCATTTTTTATCTTCTCTTCCATCTTCTTCTACAACTTTTTCTTCTTCTCTTTTTCCTGTACCGTTTCTTTCTACTTTTCTTCTTTTAGATGCTATATTCTTACTGCATTTTTATCACGTACGTAATACTTTTCTTCTCTTCCAACAGTGGTCTGGCAGGGGCTGATGGATGGGGCGTTCGACTCCACGTCACACCGAACATGTCCGCCTTTTCAGCCACGGAGGCGTTATAATGTGAGGCTATTTCCACTATTCGTTGGTAAAAGAGTAGCCCAGAAGTTGGTGGTGGATGATGTTAACTACCTGCCTTCCCCCTAGTCTATTACTGCTAAATTAGGGACGGCTAGCGCAGATAGCCCTAGTACAGCTTTGCGCGAAACCCAAAAGAAACGAAACCAAACTTCCAACAGTTATCCGTCTTTTCCAAACTACGTTTAATGCATTGCGGACATGTTCCATTGTTTCTTTTATTTCTTTCCATAATCTGTACTTTCTTTCTTCTGACGTTTTTCAGTGTCTGTTATTCTTCAGATAATTTCTACATCCAAAGTTTGCCAATATATTTCGCTCGGCGCTTTTTATCTTTTTTAGGAATTTATTTTCTACAATTATTTCGCAACTTTCCTTTTTCCATTTTCTTGTACTATTTGTTATCTTTTTACCCTCGTGCTCTAATTTCGCTTGTTGCAATTTTCTTCATAATCCATTTCTTTTCTTCCAAATGCTCCGTCGTTTCATCCTAAAGTCCCACTCTTTTTATTTTGTATTTTTTACTCTGGTCTTCTACCTGGTTTAATTTCTTATTTTATTGTTTTTTCATACTGTTTCTATCATTCTTGAATTTTTTTTTTTTATGTTTTCTATTGTCTTGTTTTCATGTCCAACAGGTCTCAGTACTGTCTTCTGCTAATTTTGTTGGACCTCCGAATCTTCATTTCCTTTACATGTGTGTGTGTGTGTGTTGGTGTATTCCTCAATATTGTCTTCTACAAATTTAGTTGGACCATCAAATCTTCTTTTCCTTTATGTGTGTTGGTGTATTCCTCATAGTTGTCTTCTACAAATTTTGTTGGACCACCCGAATTTTTATGTCCTTTATATATATGTGTGTTTGTTGGTGTATTCCTCAATATTGTCTTCTACAAATTTTGTTGGACCACCCGAATTTTCATGTCTTTTATATGTGTTGGTGTATTCCTCAGAATTGTCTTCTACTAATTTTGTTGGACCACCCGAATTTTTATGTCCTTTATATGTGTGTGTGTGTTGGTGTATTCATCTCCACTCCAGTAACCTATTTATTATACTTATCCTTCCATTTCTTCATGTTTGGTCCACCTACACACTTTTGTGCTCTAAAAACTTGGTATATGATGTTACACCATCATCACTTTGAAACTTTTAACTCTACATAACTTTTAATACTCGGTTTCTTCTTGTCATTTTCATTTTCCTAAATCTATTTTGGCTCTTCTTCGTGCATTTTTGAAAATTTAACTTTAATGTTTTGTACTATTTTCTATTCTTATATTACACTAAGCTTCTGATAATTGGTTATGACACTTCCATTTCTGTTTCTATGGTGATTTTAACATCTACCAAGAGGTGTGTATTTTCTCTTGTTTAATTACAGCTTATCTACTTTAGCTCTTTAAATTGTACTCTACTAGCGACGCACACATTCATCGCACGGGGAAGACATAGGGATCCCCGGGTTAATATGGAGGAAACAGATTCGAACACATATCCTTTATGTCACACTCCGAAGGGCCCTAAGGTTACATCCCAGATTTAGTGGCAATTTGTTCGGCAGTTCACCAGTTATAAGTAGAAAACAAAGAAATTTCTCAAATATTTGTTTAATTTGTTTATTTCCGACATCTTAAATACTTATTTTTTGTTAAAATATTTCGGTCTGCCTATTTTACTCTTTCTAAAGTGTTTGTCTCCTTATATGTCTCTCATATTGCACTCCTGGTGGTTCCTCATGTTTTTGTCTTATTCAATATTCCAAACCATTTCACCAATGTATCGAATCGAATGCAACTTATAGGTTAACATAAAACGTGCTTAATTTTCTTTTTTTCCAACTCTTTCTTTATCGAGTCGGGCGTGCTATATCGGACTGTGGATGGAAAGACGAGGGTTCATGTTCCATGCTTTTAGCTGTGAACAAGTCATAAAAGTGGCAGTTATTCGGTTCAAAGTGGCAAACAAACCCCTGTGGCGGCGAGTGCCGCTGGCTGATTGTTTCCTTATGTCAGTAGTCTAAATTTAGAGACGACTATACTTGAAACCTAGGAATCTCTATCGTGGCTATTTAGCCCACTTTTATGTAAAGTTTTGCTCAGATTGTAAATACTAAATACTATATAGAGGGTTGAGTGCATTAGTTTAAAATGATTTCGAAAATGCAAATAAGTAATTCAAGTAACAAATATAGCCAATGTAAAGTCGTTGTGGAACAACAAGTATCAGAACTACACTTTGACATTTCTTGGATTTACGTAGATAGTGTTATGCCACCGAAAATTGATCGTTTTGGGGACGGGCTCGTAACAGTTCTTTTTCAAAGCAAGATATTCATGTGTTGAGTTCGTAAAGATCTGTTCAGTTCGGGGATATCCAATGCCATTAAAATACAAGTGATATACGCGTCTTAAAAAATCCAACTCTCCGATCACAACACATCTTTATGATCCGAATTTAGAAATATGGATTAACATAAGACACCAGGACCACCCAGAAAGAGATCTGCAGCAAGTTGTACGCCAACCATGGTAAGCAAAGTACGGTATCTTGTGACAGGTGAAAATCCACGAACACAAAGCTCAGTTGTAAAGGCTGTGCACCTATTACAAGCAATAGTACTCAACGTGCTCAAGAATTATCTCTGTGTGTAAAAGCGACACAAATCACGTGTACACAAGCTGCTTCCGCGACATATCTTTTCGAAAGTTGTGTATCTTAAGCAGCTAGAGAATGAAATGTATATTCATACTATTTCCAAGTCAAGTCATTGGACGCGGTACCGATGGATTTCTGTCGTCCGATAGAGCATGACTGGATATGGCGACATGACTACAACTATGAGGTGATTCCCACAAATCATTTTATTATAATGTACTCAACCTCTGTAGTCCCACGGCTGCTCAGCGGTAAGTTTGAAAGCTTATAATGCTAAAATCTGGGGTTCGATCCCTCATGGCGTACACGGCCCAAAAAATCCATAGTGTAGCTATGCGCTTAAATAAAATATTATAATTGTCTTATATTAACGATAAGCAAAATCTATTGTTCAGAATCAGTGAACAACATTTTATAATACAAAGGATAACGTTACATTTCAACATCAAGAACTTACCTAGATGTGGACTTCTCAAGTTGCTGATAACGAGTTCGGACCGCCATTCTGTTTACATGGACGGGGATGGGCACTACAATCTTGGAAACATTACGACTAGAAACTGACCGTCCTGATGTAACTCCAGCTTTGGCCCTCTTCCACTTCGCACGTCTATTTTGGAACCAAATCTTCACCTGGACTTCACTGAGTTGGAGAGTCGTGGCAATCTGCGAGCGTTCAGTTAGTGACAAGTATTTCTTGGCGTGAAATTCTTTCTCCAACTGCAATAGCTGCTCACTAGTGTAAGCTGTCCTTCTGCGACGATGTTTTCCTTGGGACAAAAAGTACAGGTCACTTTTATCGGCTTTAGATCTGGACGACTGTTGCTCGTGAATCGTAGTCTTTTTCTTTCTGTGAACCTTAATATTTTCATGTGTGTCTTTCGAGTTGACATCTCGAGTGTTAGACAACTGATGAGGCGAAGCAGGATTGGATACCATCCATGAGTTAGAAGTTGCTAAAATGATAGACATGAAATACAAGTACTCTGTGCTTAAAAATAAATCTTTGTTAAGTATCATAATCAATTCACTTATTAAGCCTATCTATTGTTTATATGCATTACTATTTTTAAGTTAAAATAGTAAATTTCTCTCTTTTTTCAGTGATAGAACCATATTTTGAAGCTTTTCCAATAGAATAGCTTGTTCTTACATACAACAACCATTCTTTGGTGAATATCATGTAAGTTACATCATTCTAATAGTTTTTTTAAGCATATTTAACCGTAGCTTAATTGTCAAACGGTCATGTATACAAAAAAATCTCCCCAGAGAATAACTAAGGTAAGTCGATATATAAATAAATTTGACATTAATGTTATGAATATTATCAAAAGGTATCATAAAATAACTGCACGTGTCATATTCGAAATCCGTTATATATTGTTTTGGTCTGTTAAACAAAGATATATTTCCTTTAGGAATCCCAGAATTAGATAATAATAATCTTGACTATAAGGAATATATTATCGTATATGTCTTCATGAGAGGCCCGGCATGGCCAGGTGGTTAGGGAGCTCGACTCGCAATCTGCGAGTCGCGGGTACGAATCCCCCGTCCCACCAAACATGCTCGCCCTTTCAGCCGTGGGGGCGTTATAATGTGACGGTCAATACCACCATTCGTTGGTAAAAGAGTAGCCCAAGAGTTGGCGGTGGGTGGTGATGACTGGCTGTCTTCCCCCTAGTCTATTACTGCTAAATTAGGGACGGCTAGCGCAGATAGCCCTAGTATAGCTTTAAGCGTAATTCAAAAACAAACAAACTTGATGAGTGTAATGTTGGAAAACCACATGAACATTTTAGGAACCAATGAGCTATTTTCAACAATAGAATTTAACGCCGATAGTTTTCATGTTATCAGGAACAGCAACATTAAATATTTTTTGAATGATTGAACATTTATCTCTACCCACAGTGAAAACATGTTCAGAGTTATTATTGAAATAACCCGAAACAAAGATTATTTGTGAGGTATGGTTTTATTAAATCAACACTTTACCAATCAACCTTTACTCGAAGTCGTGCATATTTTACATATCCTAAAACACAAGTTTCACAAGGGTGGTAAGATAATTAAGTCCATTATAAACATAAAAATAGTCAATAAAACTAGATTCAACTGGCAGACAACATAAAAATAGTCAATAAAACTAGATTCAACTGGCAGACAACATAAAAATAGTGAATAAAACTAGATTCAACTGGCAGACAACATAAAAATAGTCAATAAAACTAGATTCAACTGGCAGACAACATAAAAATAGTCAATAAAACTAGATTCAACTGGCAGACACGAAAACACACGATCGATTTCTCATTTGAATCCATGTTCAGGCTCTTTACTTAAGTAAATGTAATATTACATTATACTTTGAGAATTAGAACTATACTGGACGCCTTAATACTGATTGTGTCATTTTTCATCGCTCGGATAGAGTAGACTCAGTGTGACAATTCGTTAATCAAACCGCCTGATAGTGTTGAGTACACGGGAATTTAGCGGCAACTGCTTGTTGTAGAGAAAACACAAGGTCTTTCGTCTTCGAAACGTCGTCCTTTACACTTGTGTTTTTTCCTGCAACAGGCAGTTGCCGCTAAATTCCCGTGTACTCGTCATGAATACTCTGCCTAAACAATCTATCAAATAATGCCTGATAGTGTATTGTGTACTTTGCAATAAGTTCACATGTGTGAGAAGAGAACTACCGCTGCAAATACAACGTTAGACATTACCTTAAAGACGCTTAATCAGATTGGGGTCCAGTAATTGTTTAAACCAAGAAAGATTACTGAAGTTATTGTTATGCTCCATCCAACAATGTGAGCGTCGTGGATTGTTGCTAATAGTTATTTTGCATTAAGCTAAGAGTTGTGGTAGGGACGTGATAAGAAACAACACTCCTGTAGAGTCTATATATTATTTGATTTTTTAATGTAATCAAAGAATTCAAATGATGCCACATGAACATTTCCCACACTATTACACCATCTCCAGAAAGATTTAAATTATACTGCCAACCTTAAACTTAAAACCGTTAACAGTTCAGTGAACTCTAATATGATACAGAGTTTGTGACACAATAAATGGTATGGTATGGTATGATATAATATTTTCAACGGCACATCGTGCGACACAGGGTAAACGGTCAGATCAGAGACCCGAAAGTTCAGGTTTAGCAGTGTGTAACTTAAAACTGCTGACCAGAGGAATGAAATCCAGCACCTACTCTTAGCCATACTGCGGGGTTGACTATCACTAGTATAACAAGGTCACAGCTGAAAGTTACGCGGATCCTTGAACGTTTGACCACAGTCCGGCACTTTTAAGTATTAGACTACGCCTGGCCTGGCACAAGAAACCCGAACACTGTGTATTTTTCGTTTGTATTTGTTTTATTTCTCTCTCTACGTACGTACTATAGGCCATTTCAAAATCTATGAAGTGACAGCAGTGAAGTGATTTTGTAAAACAAAAAATCTGTAGATCCAAACCAACAAGCTTTGTAATAGATTCGTTATACTATTCTACGTCTCAAAATAACCAGATAGAAAGTTCAAACATTACTATCATTTAACGAAATTAACAAAGACCTTAAATTAACAATTGCTATTACTTAAAAATTAAGTCTGATTTACTTTTGCAGAGAAACGCGTGACGTGACAGTAGACGTTGTTTATTTTTCACTATCGTACTGAATTTCTATAACTCGTTTTCGTACGTTCTTGGACAATCTTATTTCCAGATTTGTATTTAATAAAGACTAAAAGTACAATATCGCCGGTTAAGACAAATATGTCCCTGTGTGTAATGTATTAAGTGAAGTGTAATGTACAGGGTTAAGTAAAAGTTACTATACAGTTGATAGCGTTAGTACCATACGGTTGACACTACAAATATTACGAAGACAGAAGAAACCTACTTAATTATTGATTGTTTCAGAGTAATTAATAGTTAGAAGTTAAAATATGATCTAAATGAAACAACTTTTGCCCCACCTATATAATATTTATATATTATAAATATTATAATATATAAATATGTGTGTGTGTGTGTACGTATATAAATTAGTTCTGGTGGTTAAATTGAATGTCTCGAGCTAAGGGGCCCCAATGGCCAACCCACTATATCATTGAGTTAAAGGGCCCCAATGCCCAACCCACTATATCATTCCTCTTAGAAAAGATCACAATTTTATATATCCAGTACTGCATTAAATTGTCCCATAATATTGTTTCAGTTTCCCATGGCCCTTTCCTCCTTATAGCTAGGGAGCTTCTCTTAGAGGTTTTCTTAGCTTTGGGGACTCGGTCCCCACGGATCCACCCTCACTTGAAGTTTTAACTACTGATTAATTCCTATACACCCACCACGTTTTCGTGTCACACTGACAATGCATGTTTTAGATATACTGTTGTATAGATTCAGTATAAATACTATAAGTACAGCGAGTGTTCGTCTCCTAATATAGGATTGTAGTCTATATTAAAGTGTGATACTTTTATGAAATATTATAACAAATTAGAGATTCTACAGTTACGGCGAATGTAGAAATATTTGCAAGTGCAGAAAACTAAGCATATTTATACTCAGACACAAGCAGCAATAGTAGCAATAAAGACGTCCTGTCATGAAAGAAAGATTTCATTTATTTCTTGTAGATAAGTTCTTGAAAATTATATTTACAAATGTTTCTTTGAAATGTCACCAACCTTATTAGAGTTGCCCAATGCAATGTTTTTAAGTATATTCTCGACTCAAAAAAAAAAAAAGTTACCTGAGTTGGTCTTCCAGTTTAAATGGCCATTTTGACAGACAGTATTTTTTTGTGAGCTGTAGGAAACTTGTGCCATATTAGAAAATTTAAAGACACTTATCTCTGGTGGTGGAGTAACTGCTAGTAGCTGCTTGGGAGAGTCCGCGGAAAGTTCGAGTCTTTTGTCGATGGCGAACAATTCTCCTGTTGTAGTATGTTTATGAACGTGAAAACCATTAAAAGTGCGATGTTTCGCAGAATTCTTGGATGGGAGGTTTTCCAAACCAAGTTGTGACGGAAAAATTACTGGGTATGAAACGTTGTACAACTGCGAGACGGGCAGCTCTTGTAAGTGGGGGCAGATTCTGGGAAGAGTAGAATAGCCATCGTATAAATAGGAGGGTTTGCTAGCCTCCAGAATGGACATATAAGGTGCAGGTTGAAGCATGGACAAGGACAAGTTAATTCTCTGTTTCTAGCAAAAAAATAACTCTTAGCCTATCTATTAACCGTCACCAACGCTTAATGTGGTCATTAAAACTGGACAACGGACAGGAAACTACTACTGAAAGAGCAAATGGCCTTCATTACTTGCACAAAAATCACAGCTTTCTAGTTTAGCACGTGGGATTATAACGGATGCTGATTGGCTCTGTTTTTAAATCTTTACAGTTGCTGTAATGATAGTTAGCTCAGGTGAGTCACGATTGGTTGGTGTTCAAGAACGATTAACTTTGTCATTAATCTCGAGTGAAGCGCTGGGTACAGCGGGAGTCGACTTTTACTTAAAGAAGCACGTGTCACAAAGTCACGAGCTATGAAACTAATTCTTTCTCTTTATCTCGTTATTTAGGTAATATATATATATATATACATACATCGTATAAGGTGAGCAAATTAGTTCATTTTACGCATGATAATGTGAAGTCCAGAACTTAATAAAACAGGAAGTATCCCGTTAATTACAATGTTAATTAATTAAAGCTTTAACAACCCTGTTGTATATGTGTATAGAGAGAGATAAGTGACATAAATCGGAAAATTTACTCTCTCTCTCTCCCCCTTCGTTTTTTTTCTGGTGATCTTTGCTCATTCTTATTTTTTTTTCATTTGTTCACTTC